CCAACACGCCCCAGACGATGATATAGACGATGAGAATTCACACGTGGTTTCGATCGTTTCCTTAGACCAACCCAGTGGTGGGGTCCATGTTAATCTGCAGAGAGTTTGTTTGCAGCGATGCGACTCTGGAACCTGGGACCACCAAGGAGACAAGGCACCGGTACTGGTGGGTTCGGACGACAAGCACCCTGGCAGCAGATGGCACGTGAGCCAAAGGGTTGACTAGACGAAGGTTGCTTCGCAGTCGAAGAGTCGTGCAGTTGGTGCAAGCTCTCGACCAGATTCCTGACCATGTCCCATACTCAAAAGTTTTGACACGTCTTGCATCATGCTTGGTAGTGGAAGGAACTGATGAGATATCTTGACTATCCTCTTGATCCGGATGCTGTTTGGGTTCAGGCCTTGAGTCACCTAGGTTGCGCATTGTAGACTAGAGCCATGCTTTGGCATTCTATTTGAACCTTGCAGTTGTCTTGGCATCCTACCTTGGTAGGCGGAGCGGGCGACGATCCTGTTGCCCGAGAGCTTTGTCCTTGGCGAGGGAGAGAGAGAGAGAGCTTTGAGCTCGATGAGATCTATGGTTGGTGAGGGGGGCAGCGGATCCGTGGGCAAGATGGACCCCCTGATGCTCCTCGAAGGAATCCACAGTGGAGTGCACCTACTGCGACTTCAGCCTAACTAGTCACCTTCGGGGTTCTCCACAACCTGGCCGACAATGAGCTTGCCCTCAGCGGCCGCTAGTGCACCACAGGCGACGTCGCAGGCGCAACAACAAACGGCAGCAGACCGTGACGGCATCGACGCAGGCTTCAGCTGCGGCCTTCGGAAACGCCGTAGGAAGCCAAGGAGTACAACCCAATTCACGCACCGGCGCTCTCTTTCCATGTTGGGAAAGCAAGTTCCAACAAGCCCTGAAGCGCCACAGAGTGCGCAAACATCACAAACATCGGAACAGTTGATTGCAAGTGCGGTGGGCCAGGCCTTGGAGAATGGAGACCACTACACTCCTAGAACGGTACTCTAACAACGTTGAGGTCCTGGCTGAAGCTCCAGTCAAGCTGCATCAGTGGTTTCCTTGACGCTGTCCATCCAAGGCGCATTGCCATCTCTACTGAGGTCGACTGATGCACTACTTTCGCTAGGGGACGTGAGTGCTATGGCTAAAGAACTGTGGGGACAGAAAGTGTTTTTCCTTGAGCCCCTTCTCTTAAGACCACCTTTTTCTGCCCCAGATGATGTGCAAAGAAGCTGGCAGATTAGAGACATGACCTTGCAAGCATGGATGTGAGCCTCGGATGAGGGCACTGTGAAGACCAGACGCCTCTTGTTGCAGGAGTCTGGCGTGTGGCGCTCAATCACCAAAAATGTTTTACTTAGGCCGGAGGAAGAATTTGGCCGAGCAATTCTGTGTGGGCCCCACCAGAAGGCGACGATGAGAAGATTCTCGAAGATTCTGGAGGCCAAGGTCAGATCTGGACATGGCCCATGGTGGATGAGGAGGAGATCCGGCAGGGCCGCTGAACCAGCGCAACTGCCGCCTCAGAACAAGAAAGTGAGGGTGAGCATTCACGTGAGCAACCTTGGATGAGGTGGATGAGGGAAAAGGAACTTTGCCAGCAACCTTTGGACTGTTTTGAGTAGCTTGCGGAACGGTGTGGCTTCACCTCAGGCGGTGGAAGGCTCCCATCCAGCTTTTTTGACCATTGCATGTGCATCACTCAGATTCGGCTGGCGTCTGACCACTTTGACCCGACCCCAGCAGAGAGCAGAGTCGTCCGGCGAGAAGGCTCATCTAACTTTGTCCACAGGTTTGGAGAAGCCGTGGCGGAGGATGATGAGTATGAGACTTTCCTGGACCCGCTGTCAGTGGCAATTTTGATGGCAGTGTTTGACGCTTCGGCCAATGAGCAGAGCCAATCGAACTTTGAAAAGAAACAAGGTCAATGTTACAGACACAAGATCAAGAACTGCTGGCTGCCGCAACCACAATTTTGAGCAAAAACTGTTTGGGTTCAGGCCTTGAGTCATATAGGTTGCGCGTTGTTGAAAAGAATCAGGCCCTTGTGTTCTTTTTGCACCTTGTGGTTATGTTTGACATCCTACCTGAAGACTTCTTCCATCCGGCACGCGGCGCCACCCGCCAAGGGCAAGAAGGATGAAAAAATGACCAACACGGTGGACAAAGCGATAGAATAGGCCTGGGGCCGACGAGTGTGTCGGGGGGGACGGGTGGAGGATATTAGGGGGCGGGGTTGATTGCATTATAGAATATATTAACATATAGTATTATATATATATGCAGGGGTGTAAATAAATATATAGTTACGGGAACCCACAGTTCCACCAGTATGTGGAGGCAAGCTTGAGGTCAACCAATATAGAAAGGATTAGAATGGATTATAGAGGTTCAATACGAGGCAGTGATTTTTCGTTCTTCTCGGGCCACTGCATGGTGCTACGGTTGGAGCTTCATTTTTGATTCGCTTTCGCGGCGGGCGTTCCGTGCATTGTGTAGTTCTACTTGGCCAGGTCGTTGTTCATGTTGAGTGTTTTTTTTTTAGATCCCGAGATGTTCTATTGGGCCTTTTGTGCCGGATTTGGTGTCCGAACCACCGATCTAATATTGATTGAATCTAGGCCGAGTATTTCCAACAAAGGTCAAGTGACCTGAACTAGGGCCCTACAGGGGTACCTATCGGATAGTCGAACTAGGGTTCTTCAACCTCTGCTGGTTTAAGCCAGGCTTGTTTCATGTTGCAAAACCGTTTGAACATGTTTTGGACATGTGGGGGGGGCGGCCTGAGTCCAATGTGCCGTGCTCCACGCGGGGCACTGCAGGTGCGAACAACACGACTGTGTGGGGCGTGGAGCTGGAGATGAAGAAGCGAAAAGTCCAGTCATCCAGGGCCGATTGCCATTGGAACAAGTAATTCTTACATAGCAACTTGGCAATTGTTCAAAAGTGACTTCTCAACGAAAAGGTGCTGGCTGTTTTGGAGGCATGTTGTTCATACATATTTTGCTGCACACAATTTGCGGAGCCGGGCGCGTCGTCCTTGAGTACAAACCAATGACTCAAATACTCTATTTATACAAGATTTTGATGGACTTCCCTACGTTAGAACGGATGAAAACATTGGCAACCGCAAGCCTGAAAGAGTAGGTGTTGAAGGGTTTTCAGGGTGTATATTTCAAATAATTTTCCGTTCAGAGAGGGGATACATTCTAAAATCATGCAACTGGGTTGCCGCCACCATCCATTCTAAAGTTGGAGGGAGTTCTTGTCCAGCAGTTTCAAGATGAACATTCAGGTACAGGGACTGACCCAAAGTGGGGTGGACGTAGTGAGTGAAAAATGGCCCGTTTGTTTGTTCAACATGGTTGTGGACCTTGGCCTATCTATCTACAGTAGTTTTGTGGGTAACCTGCCAAACCTTTGTGGGTTATTGGTTTCCCTACCTGACAGGTGAGGTAGACATGCAACATAGGAGCATATCGCATGCCTGTGAAGACTGGGCCGTGGCGCCGTTCACGATTTTCACACTCGACCGAAACTCGCGCGGGGAGAAAAGCAGACGTGAAGCCGTCTATCCGGACATCCTTTTGTTGGCGCCCTATGAGTTGATTGGGGCAAAAAGAAGTGGGGCTGTGTCCCTAGATACCGGGTCTCTAGGTTTCCGGCACCCAAGAAAGGTCGCGAATCCCACCCACTTGATTCCGGTGTTTGCGCCGTCTACGCAAGACCTGCGGATCCGGTTTTGGTTGGTTCGAATCCTTAATGATGGCCGTGATCCGGGATTCAGGCTACTAAAGCACTGGTGGGCCAGGAATCCTAGGGTATAGATGACCTATTCGATATTGTAAGTTAGCCAGGCTACTGTCCAAAAGTAGACATCAATATACATCGATATGAGCCATATAATATTTGACCAGGGTGTAGTTATTTGTTCTCGCTGGGAAACAATAGGACCTCCAAAAAAGTCATTTGATGCTCACCAAGTAAACACAAAATGTCTCGAACGTACACCTATTGCCAGATGCGTCAGATAGAAGGTAACCTACAGTAACAAGGGTACCAGGCTTCCGAGCTTAACGAATGAAATTGAGTTTGACTTTGAACGACACATTTTATAGTATAATATATAGTTAATGTTAGTTATAATGAATGAATGAAGGCGAGGTGAGGTGAGGTGAGTGAGTGAGTGACAACTCATTTCATGTGCAAGTTCACCGAACCAATCATGTGCATTCCATGCTTCATGGATCTTTTGCATTCTCTTAAGCACCGGCCCAGCATCGACTCTCAGAAGTCCAACTCATGGGTGTGAGCGGTTTTGAGCGGTGGAACTCGAGCCGAAACCCCGGCGCCTTGCCGGCGCAGTTCGCAGTTCACACCGGAGGGCACCGAAGTGGGGATTCATCCCCTTCCTTACCCAGACGCTCCATGGGACTGCCATATATGGCTACATTGGGGTGGTTTCAGGGGTCAATGTAGGCATATATGGCATACATGGAGCGTCTGGGTTATTATTTGCCCGGACCCACGTGCTGACTCCGATTTGGATTGGAGATGACCGGTCACCAATGGACCACCTGACATATCCTGACATCTATTTGCAGCTAGATGATCGATGGTCACCCATCCTGGATGATAGGGTGGAGTGCCTTTAATGGGGTTGCTGCTTTTGTCACAAGGTAGCCACACAGATCGAACCTGATGACCCCTCTTCTTGTGGATCATTCTTATAGGGTTTGTTCCGTGAGTACTTTTCACCACTGCCCCAGCTGGTGCGGCGGATTTGGACACCTCAAATCCTCAAATGAGTAGACAAGGCATCCAAGAACCAAGCATACTTGAGTCACGAGTCGCTATAGTCATTCTTTGGAAAAAGCAACTATTGTAAGACAGACCAACGTATTTGTTCCATAACTTTCGATGGTGCCAGTGCTTTCACACACCTCACGGTTCAGACCCTGTCAGACGGGTCACAGTTGGCCAGGCGAATGGCGCCTTGAGCTTGGTCAATATGGTGAAGAGCTGAGTAGTCAGGGGACGAGAGCAGTCAGCGGACGAGAGCCTCTTGTTGGCGAGAGCAGTCGTTGGCTTTCAGAAAGGACGGGAAATGAGGAGCAGAAATGGAACCCCTCGGCGACGGAAGCAGGCCGCAGGCCCCCCCCACTTGAGGAAGAGGATGGAAAATGGTCTTTTTAGGGGACAAGCTGTTCCATGATTGTGAGGGAGTGTATCAAGGCCGGAGTTTGGAGCCTCCGCGAGTGGCTGGCGTATAGCTTGGAGTAAAGATGGCCCCCGCCTTCTGAACATGAGTCGACAGGTTCAGGGTGGTCGACGTGTGGACGAGTGAGCTGAGTCGACCGCCATCCGGTACCAAAGCCCTAGGCTTCCAACAACCATTAATTTAATAGGCTTTATGAAATCAACTAGGGATTTTACACTACAAAAACCAGGTCAACCATTTTTTTAAATGGTCTTGGAAGTCTAGGGAAAGTATATAAGTCGACGCTGCGGTGCCATCCTTTGGATGATCTGGGTTTGTTGAAAGCGACCAGAACAACCGCTTGGGTTGCGACCGGGTCGGCGGATCACCTGCAGGATCCGGCGACCAGTTCCCACATACCAGACCAGTTCCCATCAAGCAGTGCGCATGCGCGCATGGGGAGAAGACATGAATCAAACAAATCGGATTGATGAACATGATGCTTTAGCACTTGTAGACATCTCTGTGTTTGTAACTCATTACTCTTTTGATTTTTTCCCATGACCACTCACGTGGTTTGCTCGTTTTCTGTTTTCTTCCTCGAGGTCACAGCACTGCATCGCTTGGCACACGTGGCGGGAGACCCAAGAAAACAGAGAACGCCGGTCGAAATGGAAGAGATGAGACAGCCTCAACCAGCCTCATACCAGGACCCACTGTCGGGGTGGTTAATGGACACCCCGAATCACCTCTAAGGTCTAAGGGGCTATCAATACAAGCCCACTTGGGAGGGTCCTGGTATGTATCACCTGGTTATCTCCTGGTAAATCGGGAGATCACCTGGTCCTATTATATAAAATGTATCAAAACACCTGCAAATACTATTAAAAACTAGACCAAGGTAGGTCTATAGGGGGGGTACTATATATATATACATATAATATGGTTTTAAACATGTTTAAACCTCAGTTCCTGGAGTACCTCAAACATGGGTGAGCAACCGATGTATTTGGATTCTCCCTTTGGCTTGCAGTCACTGCTGGCGCTTCATGCTGGAGCATTTGAAGAGAGTGAGCCGTTCAGCTTCAGAGAAGCAAGAACCATGTTGAAGTGTTTGTGTGTTTGATGTGTGCTGTTTTGGCGCAATTTGCTCGCAGACCGCTGGCGAGAAGCGGCAGTTGGACTCTCAGAGGGCCATGAATGGTCAGAGCTCCAAAGCATTTTGGCAGCACATGTGCCATATTCTCTAACTTCTGATTTCAGCATCCAAATGGGCACAAAAACTGCCAAGCTCTAGCTCAAGCTCTAGCTCAAGCGCTCTCTCTCTCTCTCTCTCTCTTTCTCCATCCAGGCCAGCATCAAGTCGAACCTTGGCCCAGCAGCCCCTTGGAGCTTGACGTATAGCTGACGGTGGGGGATGTAGGTGAGGCACTCCATGCTGGAAGAGGTACCCCTTTTTCATGACACTTAGCCCATGTTCCATGCTCAACCACCTGAAGTGGCCCACATGTATGTCAGTGGACATGGTGTGGTGCATTTTCCACTTTATAATATGCACCTGGAAGCACAAACCACTACCACGTCTTTTTCTCCACTCAGAGCCCAGGGTCCCCACCCTGCTCATGTAGTTCTCATTGTATGGATTATATAACATGGATTAACCCTGGGCTTCACGGATTGACTGGTGCTGGTCATTTCGGCGCAAGCGCATCGGCGGATCATCGGCAGAGGTTTTATTCGGCTCACGATGGATTTCGGAAATCACCCGCCACACTGGAAGCTTGGGCAAGAGTTTGTCCACTGAGGGAGTATAGGTTGGCAACTTGTAGAGTCTTACTGCCCTTGAAACTCATACCTCTTGGATCCTTTTTGAGTTTGGGTTCTTTCTCTCCAGCTGCTCCAGAGAGTCTCGGCCCCAAGCTGACTTCAGGCTCCAGCAGAAGTCTCGGCCCCAGCGGAGAAGAAGCAGGGATCGGCCCGATGGGCCCGATAGGCGGCTTCTGGCGCTAACCTGAGGACTCGTCCGCAGATGGCGGCAGCTTCACCGGTTCACAGATGGGGTGCCAAGCCGTGGACATGTTCTTTTCGGGTGACGGCTTGGACCTATATGGGATAGGGTTCTTCAACTTCCGTTGGTTTGTAGCCCGAAGAGTGAATAGGGAGACCGATACCGAGGCGTTCCGCCCCGATGAAAATGCAAATACCGTATGGCACAGCATGGGCATTGCGTCATGTAAAAAAAAACAAAGGTCACAGGGCACAGTGGAGCGTTTGGGTGTGGTCTTTGAAGCCGAAGAGAGCACACTCATCGTCTCGCTACAGATGCTTTAAGATCTTAAAAGTATTGGATCTTTGTGCGTCCTTCCTTGCCATCCTTGTTGACCAGACGGAGGCTCTCGCAGGCACTGTCGCTGGAGAAGTCGCAAGAGCAGGTGGGCCGGTCCAACGCGGGGAGACACGAGGTCACGGGGTCGAACGTGGACCTGGCTGGAAGACTTCAGGTTGGGACTTGAAACGGCGCTTCAGGGAATTCTGAGTGAGGTTCTAAGTCCTGAAAAAAATACGACTTCGTGACGAGAGGGATGTAGGAACCATGAGGGAACCCAGTTCAAAGATTTTTGGCCCGACTGACCGTTTTGACCGATGGCATGGATCTGTTTGGTATCTGTCTTGGAGAGCCACTTGAGCGTTTTGCGGATCAGATGATATCCTTAGTTTCCAACTGAGATGCAGGCTCCCCGTGTTCCAAAAGCTGGCGCTGGCTGCCCTCCCAAAGGGGACACCATTTGGGTCCGATGCTTTCCCGGTGCTAAGCCCCAAGTCCGGGCTGGTGGGTGAGTGGCTACACCCTAGGGCTCCTGGCCCACCTTCTGAGGTTTGGTGGGCCAGGGGTGCCAGGGGGGTCTAACCACCAAACCTGAGGACATGGGCCAGGAACCCCACGAGCCCTATGGACAGGTCACATGTCACCCAATGTCACCCACATCGCTCGCAGTGGATCCAGCGCCGTCGTGCGAGAACAGCGCGGCGCCGTCGTCACGCAGGTGCCGATTCGCACCTGGTCGAACGCGGTGGGAGGCTAAGCGAAACGGGCGACACCTGAGCGCCAGTGCCAGGCGGGTTGGATGTGGAGAACTAAGCGCTGAATCTGAGACGAGTTGGAAGTTTGACCCCTTGATTTCCCTAGTGTGATGATCATCCAAGGCCTAAAGCAAATGTGGTGCACGGCAAGTGTATGAAGATTTGAAAGAGCGCCAGGGGCTCCTTTTGCCAATGCCAAGGCCTGGGCCATGGCCAAGTTACGGCTGAAGGCTGGCTTTCTTTGCGCGCGGATCGGTGTGGAAGAATGGAGGTTAGTCCATGTTGGTCCTATAGAAGTCCTGTTTGACTATGTTGGCGTCATGCAGGTGTTGAGGGCATTCCACTTCAGGTCATGCAGTCAGACATAGTCAGACCATGTTTTAAGTAGTCTAACCGTTAGACTAACCCTGGACTTCCAGGGTTATAGATCAGCTTGGACAAGCGGCTATGCCCCAGGATTCCTGGCCCCAACCAAACATTGTTGCACCAGGGGTTTATACATTCCAAAACGAGGTCAACCGAACGTTTCATGGTCTTTCCAGAGGCATGATGGGTTGATCACTTGAAGCGCGAGTGCCGGTGCTTTCGAGACGCTTGCCAAAAACCTCCAGTGCCCAGCATTTTGTGGACGTGTTGAACCGACAACTTGGAAACCACCTGACCAAAAAGCAACCAACACTGCTTCTCATGACCCCTTCCGCCGTTGTTTCTGGTTCGCGGCTGATACTCCGCCCTTGTGTTTGTCACGTAAGTCGTGGTTCAGTTGCCAGGTGGGGTCGGGTGGGGTGGGGTGGGAGGTCGGGGGGGTAATGATGTGCTTGTACTCGTAGCGATGTAAGGATGCAGCTGTACGTACCACGCTGTACTTATATATTTCAATTATATACATTTGCTTCTATGCAACATCCCAACCTATATATACTGCAAATACCAAAAATAAACAATTCAGGTAATGACCTTCAAGTCGAAGGAAAACCACTCGCATGATCTTGAAATGATAGAAACTTGCATGTTGAGTTACATGACTGCAGTAGTTGCAATTGTCACGTAAGAACTCTTGGCTGAACTTTTGGATGACTGCAGATCACTTATCATCAGACCTTCCTTCAAGAACACTTGCTTCGAACGTTCACTTGCTTCGAAACGTTTTTTCTCACACAGGGTCGGCAGTCATGGCGGCGGCAGTCAGGGCGGCCGCCCTCCCGTCCTTTTCTCCACGGCTCCAAACGCGTCCTCCGCGGCTCCACGGCTCCGTCGCAGGACGCCGAGGTCTTCCGCCTGGCCGCGGACGCCTTGCTGGCGAAGACCGGCTCGGGCGAGGAGGTGCGGCGTTACGGCGTCACCGGACGGGGCCGCAGGACGGCAGGACGGGTCCGCAGTTGATGCCCTCTCTGCCACGCCTGACCAGTTGGACCTTCTGAAAGGAATGGGACAGACCTGATGGCCTGATGGTGTAGTGTAAAAATACGTAGTAAAACGGTTCTTTGGTAAGGACCATTAAGGCAATGGTTGCTTGAATCCTGGGGAATAAGCATATTAATTATAATATATACATGTTAACATGAATGATATAGTGTCAAGCGTCTAGGGTATGTCTTGGGCTATCAGGGAATTATTCAAGTCAGTTGTTTGGAAGGAAGGTCTTCCCAAGAGTGCCTCATCGCACTGGAAACTGGCATCGGTTCAGTCCAAACGAATCGCAGCCACCAGTGGAAAACGCGACTGCTCGTTGTCCATCCAGCAATGCAGCAAGCTCAGCCCTCGAATGCCACAAGCACTGAGGCAACTACGACGTACTTAGGAGAATCGATATATATATATATATGTACCCATCCTGGAGTAGATTCAATATGAACCAACCCCCGCAAAAAAGATGAGCAGTTGTCCATGGATTTGTGGATTTCCATCTTCTATCTACTCCAGAATGACGACATTTGTACATACAAAACCTCAAGTTAGCATTGCTCAGACGCTTGAAACATTGCGCAGCATTCCCAATTTGTTTCCAGGTTTCAGTTTTGACGGATGTTATAGAGCGTGTACAGTTGAAGCTTCGGTACTGCTTGCAGACCTGAAGGAAGCCTTTGAAAGCCAGGCCTGCTTGAATGACACCGTAATAGACCTTGACCCAGAAGCAGTTCTTGCAAAACTGTCCATATAGGAACACATTTTGAGAATCCCACATGTGGGATCTATTGAACGGACTCTTCAAAACATCATCTGGGTAGATCCCTAAAAGCCAGCTAATCATAAGTGAAATGGGAACAACTTTTGGAATCAGACATGGGCAAACTATTGTTGTTTGCTCTTGCATCCATGGCACATAGGAGAACAAAGTCACAACATGCCTACATTTTGGCCCCTAATCCCCCACACCCTTGGGCGGATCGGTCAATAAATCGACGAGTGGTTCGACCTCCGTTGGCAGGTGCGACCGCAGGAGCTCGCCAACATTGTGTGGTCCATGGCGGCCAGGGGGTCCCAGAAAAGCTGCGGTGTACATCCCCTAGCCGACACCTGGCCCTGCACTACTTGGATGAAACCCTGATCGTAGGGTCATCGTAAGCAAGTGGGTAGGGCAATCGTAAGCAAGTTCTTTTGGATCATTTGTTTCCTCACCTGGCCTACACAACGCGAAAAAGTATTCCATGGAACCATTTTGGTCACCATGTGTTTCCTCGCCGAGTGACCGAGTGATGTCCGAAATGCCACAGCGGTGCCGTTGGTTCCAGGGGTTTTCGGTGCTTTCCCATGGGCCTACAGAGGTTAAGTGACCTTATAGGCTTATAGGACCTTACTGGGGTACCTATAGGATAGTCTATATTATATATATAAGGTTCTTCAACCTTAGCTGGGGTGGGCGGATTATATATAAGGTTCTTCAACCTTTACTGGGGTGGGCGGACCACTTCCCTGCTAGCGACGTGTGGCAGTTCACTTCAGCTCACCTCGGGTGACCAGTGATCGGCTGTGCGAGGCCAGCCGAATGGGGAAGGCTGAGATTGGCTTGGACAGGCGCAAGCGGCTTGATGGACGGCAACAGGTTTTTAGTCCCATCCAGTGAGTGGATGATGGGGGCATCCCTATCCTCCAAGTTCGGCACCCCTTCGTGACTCCTGGCTTATGTGTTTTTTGATGTTTTGTTCACCTTTTGCTTGCTACCCTAATTGATCCTATTTGGACATGCGTTCTTTTGTTCACTGGGAGTCCAGTTGACGATTTTAAAACCCTGTCTTTAGATCACCAAAAGTTCGAGCTTTCCTAAGTACACTTTGGTGGTGCCAGATATACAGTCGAACTCAGCTTCGTTTCCGTTCTTGGTGACATGTGCTAAAAGATGCTGAGCCCCCCCACCCGTGCTTGGTGAGCATGACTTTCGGATAGGGACACGGAAACTCTGGGGTTCCAACCACCATTGTTCTATACTGAAAGGTTGTTCAGCCAAAACTGTTCTATGAAGGATTGATGATCGTCGCAAAAGCCAGGTCCCAGTGCCATTCTTTCTTATGGTCCAACTGGACGGCGTAACACGGGCGAACGGGCGTGGAATCCACGCGTCGCGATGCCACAACGCCGGACATCACCGGGGGATCATCACCCGTCTCCGGACCTCGGACCTGGCAGGTGCATCACTCACATGCTTCAGCGTGTCGATGAGGTCGCGGGAGTTGGCTGAGAATGGCAGGGGGGGGGTCCCAGAAGTTGGCCGAGGCATATTCCATGAGTCAGCGAGGTGTAGAAGTGTTCAAAGGGATTCGGAGATTGTAGAAGCCTTGCGCCCCAGCAATGCGCCAACGCATTGTAATGTATTGTACGATGATTTGGGGAAGATGGCCCCTCCCTCCCAAGCATCCACTTCTTTGAGGGTTGGCTCGACAATGGAGGATCCAGAGTGGATAGTTTTGTAGCGCCAGCAGCAGCAGCAGTACCTAGGAGTGGGAGTAGTGGGAGTAGTAGGAGTAGGAGTAGTAGTAGGAGGAGCAGGAGTAGTAGTCGCAGCAGCAGCAGCAGCGAGGGCCAGTAGACCCACGGTGGTCATTGGTAAAGTAATAGCAATGAGGGTTCGAGCTGGAGAAGTCCCGACACTGGACTCACAGCGCATTTCACATCATTTCACCAGCCAGGTCAACTCTAATCTTCACCACGCCTTGTAAAAGGGACCTACTGTTGGCTTCCCAGTTCATGGG